GAAAAATTAACTCTACAAAATGGCTATCTTTAATTTTTTTGTAAATATTTAAATAAAAAAATATATATTTTAACTTTTTTTCCCAAAAGATTAAAATAAATTAAAATATGAAATAATTGYAGTTCTTATCCCTGTGAGTCTTTAAAACCAGAATTTCGATATCACCATTATTTCGGGAGATATCGCAATGAGTAAATCCTAACGGGACACCCTGTACCTATTATATAACTGATCAATGGTTAATGGTTATACACCTGTTTTTTTAGTAAATCGATTTAAACATCAACTGAGTGCAGGTAATCAATCTCAATATTTTAATTTTATAAACGTTGACATCTCAATAAATTAGTTAGGAAATCGTGAAAGTGATAATATAATAATATTTTTACTATTCTAAATTCTAATCTACTTTGAACATCGTGGTTGAGCTTGAGATGTTTGATTGGTCGAAATATTTTATATTTARTATCGAACAAGACTTGTTATTATTTAGTGATTAATAAATTAGTGACAATTTTATAATTGACTAAATTAACCAATACTATAGGATATTATGTTTCTAATATACATGGTTTWATTACACCGATTATTGATGAGTAAAGACTTCATATAAATGCAGTGTTATGGGGGTATTTCGCCACCACGCATTCTATTGATACCAAAAGTATTTTGTACTTTCTTATACTTTATAGTGATCTAATTCTCTACGAGCGTCCTTGCATAAGATTATTAAAGCATTTGCATTTAAACGTGTTGATAAAATGATATATTGTAATGTATGCTGTGTTTAAACTGTTACAAAAATATAGGMTTCTGTTACCAACATAAAAGGTTGTATGAATTAWGAAGATTAAAATAATAGAATGCACAATTATGGCCAAAATGATGAAAGAATTTTTAGTATAATTTTAACCTAAATTTATGATTAAATATGTTATAATATAATATTATATGTATATACATATGCTTGTTACTAACCATATATTTTCTTCAATTTGTATTATTTACGAATTAGTCTTTATGAACACAATATTCAATTATATTTAAGTTTAATGTTTATAAGTCATAACTATAGAATTAACAAAGTATATAGGTAATTAATATAGGTTATGTTATAAAATATAGGTACTAAAGCTTACGAAAAAAAATAAACGCCGAGAGCTAAAAGTTTTGCAATCRGAATTTGGCACACAACACCTATMACATAAAATTATAAAAATAATTATGAAGCAAGCTGTCATGATGGGACTCGAAAACATTTTTCTGACAATGTAATAACTGTCGAATTATCCAAAATTGGTTTTCTAAAAATACATGTGAAATATTCTCGTCAGTATCCTAACCTGCGTCATTACCAGTTTCACTGTTTTTATAGTATACTTCTATCATACATTTTATTCTCACCTGCGTATCTCTCAGAAATTGTCAGAAACTAGCATAATACATATTATTATACATAAAAAGATATAACTTGATATAAGTGTAAAAAGTCTCGTTTGTTAAATTTAATATGTATTATTCGCAACTTTTGCATCTGCCAAGACGATTTTATCCTGCATTCTGAACGAAAATAAAATATATATTAAACAGCTTTGCGTATAATACGCCCTTTTACCTGTGAAATCTCAATTTTTTTTGTATTGTTATTAGGATGTCAATTATAATTATCACGAAAAGCTAATTCCATATTACACTGTATAATGTTATTAAATAATAAAAATGCAACGTCAGACATTTGAATAAGAAAACATTATTCAACTATACATATAGGTAGATAAACTGTAAATATCCAATGGTCTATGTTATCTCGGGTTACATTAAAAAAAATCTATTATTATTCAAATCATAAAGAATTACTATAATTTGATTTTCTGAGCTTAGTTTTTTTTTTTTATCCTATATATGCACAATGTTAAATTTTATATATAATGACTATTGGTAACAAAAAACAACTTGGTTTTAGCATCAAATCCGATGTTATTAAAATTTCAAAGTGATGCAACGATTAATATATCGATCGTACAATTCATTAGAATTAATAATTCAACATATGATAAGATGTCTTGTTAAAGAATTTGATATAAAAATTKCCCACAAACAATAGAACAATACAATTAGACAAGTAGAAAACAAAAAATAATGATGAGGTGAGTGTGTATACAGCTCAATGTTTATTTATGTGTATTATATATACGTATGTACTCGTGATGACCATTGACCATATTATATAACAACACATATTTATACATTTTGAACGTCTAGGGTGGCAGACGTTTAGGCAATCTAAATTTTCCAACGTGAAAATCTTATGTACGGAATGAGAAGAAGAAGAGATGGGCTCCTCTCGGGGGCCGTGKGCTTAAATGACCCCGCGAGGCCCGAGAAGAATAACAAAACGACAGATTATCCGGGCAAATTGGTTTATGGGCGGTGGACCTCTTTCGGGAGTCGAATAATAAATATATGTTTTCGGTCGACTAGCCCGAGCATAGTAGTAGGATGTGTGTGTGTGTGTGTGTGTACATATATATACACACACAAACACTAATCTATCCTTCCATCCCCCTCGGTATGCCACGTATATATATGTATACAGAGTACACTTACACCGTTACACACGTATATATAATAATAATAATATGTAATATGGGGTGAGTGGAGGAGAAATAAGTTTTTTTTGTCCTCGCACCCTATTCGCGTCGTATCATATTTTTAGGGAACTCGTGCGCTGATTTCACGGGGCGCCGATCACGAATATGCTCGACGACTATATAATAATATAATGTATAATATATATACACACATACGCGTGTATTCAGTGTTACATGGGAATTCGCACTTGTTGTGTACGCTGCCCGTACAACAATGATTATGCTAATGGACACCCCGATAACAATAACGCTCTAAATTATTGCCCATTAAACATCAACCGCGCCGCAATTKTATATATATAATATAATAATATAACATACCACGTATATATGCGTATACGCTTAATATCCCCACGCCCGCCAATGTCATATTTTTAACGGTAAAAACACCCAGTTTTTCATATTGCGCAATATATTAATAATATAATATATAAGTACTTACAGGATCGACTGCAGTCGTGTTTTGTAGTGCTTTATGATAGAGATAATATATAAGTTAATAGGTACCTAAGTAAWCAGTTTTCAGCATAATATTATAATATATAATAGGTAAGTCGAAAGTACATCAGACAGCTAGTGATGGGCGTTTCATATTATTTTTACAAATTTCTGTTTTAAACGTAGGTACATATTTAATCGAAAATTACTGAAATATACCTGCCCGACATAATATAAAATATAAATCAGTTAATAATATTTCTGTATACCACACGCCGATCGTGTAAAATCACACGAATTTATAAATTTGTAAGGTTAGGTTAGGCTTTAAAACCACAACATAAGCTTAAATAAATGTTCAAATTGCCAACATAAAATTAATTTTAAACTTTGTAATTTTAATTGATTAAGTTATAAAAATAATTTTCGTTTTAGATAGGTAGCAGTTTGCAATACTTTATATTTTATCCATGGACAAGTGGTATTGTAAACAAAATTCTAAAAGCATTCTGAATAAGTTAAATTATCATTAGAATAAATATAAGTACCAATAAAAAAAACTTGAATGCTAATCATCGTGATTGCCGGATTGTAAAAATAAAAGAATAATTTTAGAACGTGAAAAATACTGTAAGAAAATAACGGAGTTGGTAAATTGAGTCCCAAATGACCCTAATTCGGTAAATTGAGTCCCGGGTAAAAATAGGTAGTAGGTAAGTTGAGTCCCGGAAAAAATAAGGTATAGTAGGTAATTTGAGTCCCAGGAAAAAATGATTTATATGCATTTAAAATTTAAAAATATGCACTATAAAATTTTTATTTGTGATTTATGGACAATTCATTGACTGCATGTATATGATTTTGAAAATAGCAACATGCATTTTTATTAATTATATAATTATTTTTTATGCAATAAAAATGCATGTTGCTATTTTCAAAATCATATTCATGCAGTCAATGAATTGTCCACAAATCACAAAATAAAAATTTTATAGTGCACATTTTTAAATTTYAAATGCATATAAATCGTTTTTCCCTGGGACTCAAATTACCTACTACCCTATTTTTTCTGGGACTCAACTTACCTATACTACCTATTTTTACTCGGGACTCAATTTACCGCTTTCAAAATGTACCAAACTTATCTCGGACTCAATTTATCTAGCCCCGAAAATAAACTCAAATCTTTGAATACGCTTAATGCATTTTTCTATAAGCAACTACCTAATATGCAAGGGTGATGCTAAACAAGTTTTATCCAAACTGGATTCCTTCTATACATCATGCTGCAGAGTAGTATAACCCAAAATTGAGCATTAAATTCTTAATTATAACTATTATTATTACAGTAAGCGATACGTTCTTTCGAATAGGCTGTTAATATGTATATATTTGATTTTTTTTTTTTGTACTTAATCCTAAGCATTTAAGGAATAGATAGTTATTCGGCAATAATAATATATGAATTTTGGTASTTAATTTTAAGTATATTCACGGAAAAACGGATGTACAGTGCCTAAATAATGTGTATAACTATGACGAAAGTGCGTATTATCATAGTATAAWAAATATGACTATATATTATAGGTACATATTTTGTTACAGAGATTTTTGGCATCGCCGTACTTATATGATTTATAAAATAATAATCAATACAAAATGATTACAATACTACTTATATGCTATGTACGCACCTCTCTTAAGTTTTTCCAACGGTTCGTGGTGCAACAGCGATGGCGGACACGGCACTGCCGTGTGATGATGATGGTGATGACTGTCGTGATGGTGCACGTGGTGGTGTCCAAGCATGCCTTGGTGCAGTCCGGCACTGCCGTCGTGCACGGGATGGTGAAACGATGCCGGTGACGCGTGTTGTAATGCGACGTTATGGTGATCGGAACCCGTCGACGACACCAAGTCTTGTAGACACAGACTCGGGTCGGTCAGGTTTTCCAGGCGTTCCATCATTTTTGGGTWTTTTAATTCTCGATTTTTGTTTATCAAAGGCCAACGGCCATCACCGGATTCAAATGCGGGAAGCGAACACTCAGTTGAGATCTGCAACCAACCACACAATATAATATTTAACAAACGTAATATAACAACAACAAACGAGAAAATTCTATGCGTATTGCAACAATATACGCTCACTACATTATTATTACTATACAATAACTTGATTAAATTACATATTATAACTATGAATAGAGTTATTATTTATGGGAACCTATCTTAAATGATAATTAAAACCATTTGCAGAATCTGCTCGCAAATCACGATTTCCTAGATATTAATTTCGATTTTAGTAATACGTATAATATTTGAATATTATAGATTTCGTCTGCGTAATATCTACAACATATATTATATACCTTGATGAAAGTATAATAATATAATATTATGCAGGAAGTGTAGGTACCGCAGTTCGAAATACATATTTTGTTGGTTTGAATAATTTAGTGATCGATTGAAACATGAGTGTTTAGTTAATTTCCGTGTTTAGTAAATAAAAATACTTACAAATAAATAAATCGAACTGTTTTAGTCGGTCTAATAAATATCAATACTTTTAYAATAATCACAAGATTTAAATTTAAAAAAAAAATTAAGTATTGTTCTTTTTAGCATATATGAAACTAAAATACACTCCACAAAACTAACAAACACTAAACAATAAAAATATAGAGATCACATATTTTTAACGAAATCCGTTAAGCTGATTTAATAATTATTATTTTATAACCACAAAAAAAAATTAATTAAAAATATTACTAGGTATTTACGCCAACAAACATTTATACAGATTGCAGTAGTACAGGTATGTKCGTACTAATTACAATGCCAATCGTTTACAGTTTTAACAATATTGGTATCGTCAATTTCTACAATACAATATCTTGACTGACGTCTAGTACCTATAGTTAAACAATGAGTACCAACCCAAGTATTATATAGAGGAGTGGTTGTGATAAAATATATTTTTTGTTCACATGATAAACACGCAAGTTCTTAATATTGCTCTATTCTATATAATATATGTATATTTAAATTCAATAACTGAATAAAAACGCAATAATATAGATACATATAGTTACTTGTATATATTCTATATTTTTATTTAATCGTCTAGTAGATAAGATTATATTTAATTAATTGAACGATCATTAAAAACAAAATTACAAAATTTGTATGTATCGCAGCCTGCAATATGATTATTGAAATACTGCGTATATATATAATATATACCTACACTCCAGGCAAATATTGATAAATCCAAACGATTTTTATGGTTTTATGTGTGCATAGATTAAAATGCTTCAACAGAAAAATCATGACTAAATCCACGTGCACAAGAGAAAATCTAAGAATTATTCACATAAAAGAAAATGCAATCATAAACCATGCGTTTAAAGACGCCGGGGCTTTGTTTTATGATTCTAAAATCTTGAGTTAATCAATAAAACTTAAGTTGTTTATAGTAAATAATATGTATATCCCTAAAAAATTTTATACGCATGCAGATAAATTTAAAAAGAGTATTTTAATGTTTATATTTTAAAATTATTTTAACTACTATTTATAATATATTTACAATAGATAGATGTAATATAAAGCTTTTGTAGATTTGTTGTGAAAATTATCATGTGTTGCACTCMTCGCATTTAAACGATCACATAAAAAACAAATAAAAAATAAAATATAATATAAACTTATTTGAATATTTAATTAAGTACCAATTTAAATCGATGACCTTTTTTTTTAAGCAAATTATTGAGTCCTTGTAAATCGAATTAAGCCAATCGCATAAATATAAATTGCACACATATAGGTGCGTGTTTTATTTAAAAGAGAACCATTTTATCGTAATTCCACACTGCAATTTATTTACGTCATAAAAAAACGTTCGTACTCAAAGTTTATCTTTTAAAATTTTAAACACCTATTCGCTATTATGCATATTTCTAAGAGCCTCTATATATATTTTGAATACAAATCGA